AAGAGCGAAGGAAATGAGCGGTGATCCTTAGGGCGTGTCCTATATGAAACTGTCTGCCTGTGCAGGCTGCAAACATTGTATACCTCTTTATCTAACTGTATTATCAGCTCTCCATTACGCATTTGTCCCAGTTTTCAAGTGTGTCGAATCCTTATTGCATTTTCATGCTTATATTCTGCGGATCACCTGTTTGAAATCAAAAATTTAAAAATCCGTGCTATCACTCAGCAGCAGTGTTAGTTAAGGCAGTGCTTTCTTGGCTAGTGTTCCTTGACCTCTGATTTTGCGTGGGTTATCTGAGGATTTCTTTTCAGTGAACAGTAATTCTAAAGGGATTTAGATCCCTTTAGGTGTGAAAATACAGTAGTTTAAAGCTGAAAGATAGCAGGATGCACAACAAAAGCATCAGCAGCTAAAACACAAAGTTATGATAGCTGACAGTCTGGTTCTTACATCAAGGTGGGGGTGGGGGGGTCCTTTGTGTTTTTTAACATCACCAGGTGCAGTGAAAACCTTGTGTAGGGTTGAAGAGGTTCAGCTCTGACTTCTGGGCTGAATTTGAGTCTGCTGTAGAAGGCACCTCTACTAACTGACTGCTAAGTAGTTGCTGTGTACAGTGCTCAGGTTTCAGTTTTACCTACCTTTAGATAGAAGATGAAGCTATTCTTGGGTGGTTTTGCTGGGAATCTGTGGCAGCGTTCAAGTACCTTGTGCAGGAGAAAGCAAAGTTAGTGCTTTTGCTGACAGTGTGTGTGGTAGCTCACATACATTGCAGTGGTATTGCAGCTGTTACTTCTAACAGATAAACTTACATTCTTTCTTGCTAGGATTGTATGTCAAGTTGGACCAATGAATGAACCAAAACAAGGTCAAATTGAAGTTAACATCAATGGAAAATTAGGTAAATCACCAAATGAAGTGCTATTTACATACCAGGTAAGTGCATTTTTTTCAGAGACCTGTTTTATACCTTGTACATGACTTGAGTTAGAAGTTTACCTGTTAAGCACAGTCACTTTTGTTTGCCTTACAAACTTTATTTCATCAATAGCACTGTCATTCAAGCATGTTAGAAAACACTTAACTCGAGCATTTCTTTATACAAAGGGTGTACCAAAAATCTATTCTGATCAATAGATCCAGAGTCTCAAAATAGGATGATGTTGTTTGCAATTCAAGTAAAAAAGATCTGGTAGAAAAGGAACTGTAATAAACTTATTCAGTAGTGACACGATATCTCTTAAGAGTCACTATTGAATATAAAAAAATCAGCACTGCAAAATATTAGGTATTCTTTAGACGCACAGTTGGTGCACTATTTTAATGACTGTGTTTAGTCTAGCCAATGTTCTTAATTACCAGAATGGATGCAGAGCAGCTGAAGAATAAGTAATGAAGGTACATTAATTTTTTAATAATTTATTTCATTCAAAAATATGGCATGCAGAGCCACAGACAGTGTGTTGTGTGCCCATATTACACATGTGCTTTGCTTTCAGTGTCACTATAAAGGAGAATTTCGTTTGTGTCTTAATTGCTTTACCCTAAATGTGGCCCTAGGTTATAGCTGGTCTAGCCTGTGGTTTTAGCAGCAAGTAGCTTTACCTGTATCTATGAGGACTTCAAAATTTATAAGAGCTGTGATAGTTGAGAGGTTTAAATAATCTCTGTCCTCATATTGATACTTAAAATTACACCTATAAACTGTAAATCTATAAAACGTAAAGGGTGGGTTAGGCTTTTATCTTCTCCTTTATTTAAACTTCTGTCTCATTAATTCTTGATAACTTGTGAGAAGGAAAGGAGTTGGCAGTAAGAGGTGGAATAAGTCAGGAATGACATTCAACTGAGAAGAGGATATTCTTGTTTTCACAAAACAGGCTAGAAGTGGTTTTTCCATCATTTCCAAGCCAATACCTCCTCTTTCTGGTGATCTCTCTGCAAAAACACCATTTTTGCTTGAAAATGTCCTCTGTTCCTTTGTGGAAATGTAGATTATAATTAAGTCTTTCTTTGTCAATCTCATTCATCTTAACCAGAGAAGAACAACATAATCTCCCGTGTTTATGTGTTTGTGGTCTCTAGGACAGAGACTATGACAGTAAACCATACATGAGATGAGATTTTGACGTGAACCCATTGTGTGGGGTATGTTTTACACCAGTTCTCCTATGCTTCTCCCGTGTGTAAAGATTCTCCCCTGGTTTGCATGAAAACCACATGAAGAAGTTATGGAGTGTGTTGAAATGTAGGCTTCGAAGCCTGTCTGTGTTCTGATGTGATTCCCTGCTCAGCCCATCTGGGAAGCGAGATAAGCAGCCACCGCCTTTGGCTACTTAAGGGAAAGATTTTTGATTGCCCGTCAGGAGAAGCCACTGTGCACAGACGTCATCCAGGTGGAGGTTTTCCTGCAAGTCCAAGACTTTCTCTGGGCCGATCTCTGCCTGCATTGAGGTTACTGAAATACCAGATACCTAACCTAGCTGCCGATAAAGAGCATTTTTATTTACTGCAAAAATCTTCCCATGGGGACTCTATTTACAAAATGCAAAACAATGACAGGTAATACAGTTCGTGCTTTAAAACTGGTGAAATTGGTTTCTAGTTTCATTTCTCTTTGTTCCACGAGAAAATAAAACCAACTGTGGACTGTAGTAGGATTAAAGTCAGTACAGGGGCACTGCATTCACGCGCACCTCTACAAGTGTGACACAGGTGCTTTCAGCGTGAGAACAGATGATCAGAGCAGACAATCACATCAGCTGATGTTGTCTTAAAAGCTACAATCTTATTTTGCTGCTGTTTTCAGGCAGCTCTTTGGTGACTTCTTTCAGCAGACATGCAAAATCTGTGCTTTGTTTAAAACCTCTTCTATTCAGTATATACAAATGAAAGAAAATACTCTTCTTTCCAAGAGCCTTCCTAAAATAAATTTTCTATTATGTATTTCCCCCTTTCTTTGGCACATTGTCTGGCTACCCTCCTTCTGGTAATTATCACTGGTTTTACTGTGTGCTCTGATCACCTGAAGCACAATAGCTTCAGCTTTAGCAGTGACCACTCTAAATGCAGTGTGTGGCGGCACAGGGCAGAAGTGCACAAGCAGTGCACAAGGAGACAATGCAGCTGCTCAGCCCGGTGTGTCTATGTACGCTGGAGGTGTCTCCACAGTCTCAGCCTTGTACACGTGACTAGCATCTACCACCAAAAGCACATAGTCAGTTATCAAGTAGATTGGATATAAGGAAGAATTTTTTACGATGAGGGTGGTGAGACACTGGAACAAGTTGCCCGGAGGGGTTGTGGCTGCCCCATTATTGGAAGTGTTCAAGGTCAGGTTGGATGGGGCTTTGAGCAACCTGATCTAGTGAAAGATGTTCCTGCCCATGGCAAGGGGGTTGGACTAGATGATCTTTGAAGGTCCCTTCCAACCCAAACTATTCTATGACTCTATAAGTACTACTGCAGTTGGCTCTTGTTGATACCCAGTCTGAACAATGAGATGCGTTTTTAAAGCTGGATTGATGAGGATCAATAGTCAGCACAACTTGGGGCTCAGACTCGTGCTTCTGCCCCATCTGCCAGCACAGCACATTTCTGAGCCAGGGAACACGTGAGACCTCCATTAAATGGGTCAAAAATCCAGTTAAAAGGGAAGTCATGGTTTCAATTTAAAATGATTCCTGAAATAAAAAGCCCTGGTCCACAAGAGTCTGTGCTGTGCAGTAAACACCGCATCTATATTTGCTGCATAACAGGGGAAGAAAGCTCTATTTCTCCCTACCCATCACAATTTCTCTATCCAACTTGAGTGCTGTTCAAGTCCAGCCATTCCAGTGAAATTAAATTCTGGTAACCGAGTCCTCCTCTACTGACATTTCTGTTGTTTCACTATAAGCAGGATTAGGCAATAACCATTCTCCTGTTTAGTGGAATAGAAATGAAGTGATGCTAAATTTTAATATCCAGCTATGCGGTACATCTGGAGCACTGACAGCTTGGCTGGTCTCTAAGCAGGTGGAGCAGTAACATGGCTAAAGGCCAGTCCTGCTTTTTCGTTTGTTGTTAACTTTATCTGATTTGCTTGTTACTATGACAGTGAGAAGCTGTATCGAAGGAGTTAAGCTTTTCCTAGGTATATGGCCCAGATTTGCTGATCCCATACAAGCATGATTCCTTTCTCAGAATACCTCGTCTTCAGACTCGAGAGCCACCAGAACGAGAGCTTGCAGCTGGTTCTGGGATCTCCAGCATCTGTTTGCAAGAGCAATTCTGTGAGTTTTAGGCTGCGCAGGTTAAAAAGACTGTATGGTTTCAGGAAGCTCAAATAAATGTAAGATGGTGAAATCTGAGGTAGAACTTTGCACAAGTGTAATACATTTCTGAGGTGCTGAAGGTAGTTTAGGGACTGGCTTGGGAATAATGACTTTTAGTAAATCAGGAAGTCTATTTATCTAAACAAGATGAGATGAATAAACAAAAAGAGGAAGAAGGGGGGATAAAGTAGAGTCTGATCTGAAAACAGACATGAACATGACTATTTACCATACTGGAAGTTGAATGTGAACCTGAACAGCACAGATACGTTTAACAAGGTGCACTCTTCTACCTTAATCTACTCCCAACTTGGCAGTTTCCCCTTACCTCCATCCATCCTCTGCTTTCCTTCTTGATGTTTGAAGCAATTGCCCTGGGAGCTCTCACCAGTGCAGTGCCCTTAGTCCACAAGGCTTTTGTGGAAGGTTTTAGCTCACTCCTTGATTTTTCTCCCTGAGTCTTTACCTCAATACATGCATTTTATACTGTAGCTGGGGGCATCGGGTGTTTTACATGGGGGGTATTACATGCTTGTTGCCATTATGATTGATGCTGAAAAACCACACATCCACAGTAAGAACAGATTGCTTCCAGAGGATCTTATTTTATTCTTGAGTCCTGGAGCACATCTTGTTTGTGTGTAAGCCTGCATAGGGGCCAGGAGAACTCCTGGGTAGCTGAGAGTTTTAGCGAAGTTGGCCCTTCCTCATGGGGATATTATTAGACTTAATTCTCTATTGTCTGAGCTATGCACTTAAAGACATGTCCCTCCATCCAGCGCTCATGGTTCTGCTTGAAAGCTGCCAGTGAACACTGGCTGTTTGATAATGCAGACTTTCCAGTCATGCATGCTTCCATTTCTCCATCAAACCTGTCAGCAAGGCTTTGTGGTCTTTTCAGGAAATCATGTGGTGTCTGCCTCACGACAAAAAGATGCTGCCTGCAGTCCAAAAAATTAGTTGTTTAAAATGCCAACCCTTTGCATAAGCATCCCATCCACAGCAGACAGCACACGGTGTGCATTGCCAGGCAAATGCTCTGCCTGGGCACCTGGAGTGGCTGGAAGTGTTTGATCAGCTCACATGGTGTGAGGTTTGGACAAAGCAGCCCCAGAAAGGCAGGACTCAGCTCACTTCTCTGCTGTTGCGGAAATAACCCAGGAACTGAAGTCTGGCTTTTGTTGTGGATGCTGTGACGAGGCAAGCTGGTGGGTCAGGTCAGCCACTGCAGTGAACACCAGGCTGCCAAGAGTGCGCAATGGAAATTCTCTGGTTGAATATCCTGTGAGTGGGTGGCTTGTCTGAAGAAACAAGAAGCAGGCTCCCTTGAGTCTGAGAAAGGAGGGAAGTGGAGGGGGAAAGAGCAGTTCCTAATGACTTGCACGCCCCGTTCAGAAGCTTAGTTTAGCTCCTGTGGTTACCTTTATAGTCCATGAAATGACATTTTGACCTCCAAGAAGGTGGCCGGTGTCTATAGCACTTCATGGGCTATGCCTTTAATGCCTTTAATTTTTGTGTCCGTTACACGCAAGGGTTGGCAGAATAATTTGGCTTTCAGTGCAGGGCAGATAATTTTGGTAACAAATTAGTTGTTTTACAGACCTGCTTCAAGAGCCAGAA